GGTCTCTCAGCGCTCCTAGCTGTGGCGAGGTCCTCCTTAATATTCACGCCATCAACGTCTCATGAGCTTTTCGCTCCAGTGGGTTCAAGACACCATGAGTTTGTTTGTGCACCGTGCATGCTATCGTGATGCTAAATATATCATGCATGCTGTATGCGACATGTCAAACGTCTTGATGGCTGCGCCGCTAATGAATTCCGCGGCAAATACCTCGATTAATAAGCCAGAGATAAAACGCTCAGGACAAACGAAGCCTGCCTCATCTCCCGCGTTCTCACACGTCAGACAGGGCCAGAGGCGATGCCGCCTTCAAGCCCCAGCTGTCGCTCTGCCTGCCCAGACGGTTGTGCAGCCGCTAGGGCCGTCTTTACGACGGGCCCAATGCGGCCGGCATCCAGCGAGCGCCGCCGGCGCCGCGCCACCGGGCCCGGGGTCGGCGCGGCCACGGATCGATTCCGCGGTCGCCAATTACGGCGCGTTAGGTGCCATCAGCGGCGCGGCGGCCGCGGGCGGCTGCATCGCTGCGGGATGACGCGGCGCCGGCCGCCGGTCCCACGGCGCCGGCGCGCCGCGACAGGCCCCGACCCCGCGACCGGCCCGCTGATCGCACCACCGCCGTGTAATTAGCTCGTAACCGGCCGCATTGACGGGTCGGCCCGCGGCCGCGGCCGCCGCGCCGCATCTCGCCGCGCTGCGCCGCGCCACGACGCCCCGCGCCTCGTCGCGCCACGCCGGGCAACGCCGCGCCGGAACGCCGTGTTGTGACGGCCCGGACAACAGCGGCGGCGCTGTGTGCGCGGCCGGCAAAAACGCGGCGACATCCGGCGCGGCGCGCCGTACACGGCCGTTGACTGGAGCCGGGCGGTGCGCCGTTTTTGTCGTCGTTCCCAGGCGCGCGACGGCGCAGCTCGCGGCGGCGCAGCGCGGCGGCCGACCGACCTGTTTGCGTTTCTCAGGGCGCCGCCGCCGGAGCGTCATTATATACAAATCAAGTGTCATTCACGGCGGCCTCGCTAATGTTGCGGAATGGATGGGCTTAGCGGCGCGACCGCGGGCCGCCGTGAAAGGCGCCGCGGGCGTCAGCCGCGCGCGGACTGGAGCGACCTCTCCTCTCTCTCGGCCGGTCGGGGTCGCGAGAACGGCGACACCGCTCGTCCCAACGGCCACCTGACGGGCGCGGGTAAAAACGATCGACGTGACCGGCATAGCGGCGCGGCGCGACCTTCGGCCGCCGTCACGTCCCGGGCGGTTCCGTCATGTCCGCCGACCGTCGTCCGGCGCGGACATGACGGTCGTCGGCTCGTCAGCGGCCGACCGCGCAGCCGGTCCGGCTCCGGCGCCGGGCCCGCTCAGGGGCCCGGGCCGAGGAATGTCCCGGCCACGTCCGATTCGTGCCCGCCTCGGCCCAATTATCGAGTCATCTCGCCGGCGTCGGCGCCCGACACCTGTTGTCCGCGGGGACGACGCGTTATCGGGGCAGAATTTAAGGGTGACGGGGAATCTCAGCCGGCCCTGTCGCTACGTGTCCACTGGATGGAGCCCGTTATTTCCTAGCTGCTCCAAAGGGCTATTATCGATTTCCTTCAGAGGCCGTTGTGTTGTCACGTTCGACAAAAATGCGAGACATATGTCGTGAAACTGGACGGGTCAGGTCACACGACCTGTTTGCCTTGTAATTAACCACGCCATCGCCTGGCCGCCATCCCGGGGCTGTCACCGCAAACTCGTCCCGACAGTCGACATTCCCGGCGCGTCCCCGCCCGTCACACGCCCCCCGTTCCGGCACTCGGCGCTGGTCGCCGCGCCCAGATGAAACGACCGCGTGTCGAAACGGCTCATCTGCATTGCCGAGACACTGCAGCGGCGGAGCGCCCTGCGCAGCGGCGAATGCGGCGCAGCCGGCCAAGGTCGCCGTGTCACCTTCTGCCCCTCCCCCCCTCCCCCCCTCCACCCCCCCCCCCTTCTCCCTTGGTCACCAGCTGAGCGATGACTGGCGCTCCGGAAACAACCGGGTGGCAGAAATTCGGTGCGGACGGCTCCGCACTCGGCACATGCACCGTCACCGACCCGCCCACAGCCAGTGGAGAGGACGGCAATGGTGAACCTCCCCGAGGAGAGCAGGCATGACGCGCAGCCGCCGGAGCGATCATCTTTCAAGGGCCACCTGTTAAAACTGGGCCAATTTCATCGAAACTTGGTGTGACCGCTGCCACGCCAGGCGTGGGGCAAGGCGGATAGTCTGCTCGTCGGAGCTCGACAGGTGGCACCTGACGTCCACCCGCGCCGTGTGTGACTGGCCGTCTGCGCGTGGCTCACCTCTGGGCCGCTGGCCGTCGGAGGACGTCGCCCTCTGTCACAGCCGGCCGCTTGCGACGGCACAATGCGACAGGACGGCGCGCCGCCCAGCGCCGGGTGACACCCTGCGTCCCCATCTCGCCCCGTCGCCGCCGCCCCATTGTGAGCGGACCCCACCTGTCGACGCTGACCCGGCTCGGCCATGTCGGGCCGCCGACACCCGACACGCCAGCCCGACATGTCGGAATGCGTCCGGCCGGCGCGCGAGCTCCAGACGCCCGCCCGCCAGAGCGCTCGGTCGGGCGAGAGCGACGCTGGCGGCCGGTCGTCGGCGTGTCGCCGGCGCGCGGCCGCCCGTTTGAAGTCCCGGCCGGGGACGGCCGAACTGTCAGCCGTCTCTAACCGGCGCACCCGGCTATTCTTCCGTCCAGCCGTTGGTGCTCCCATTAGTCAGTCAAACGTGCCGGTCAGCCCAGTCACCCGCTCCGGGTGTGCGCTCGTCGGTTTGTCCGGATACCTGCCCATCCATCCGTGCCTTTGGATGTCCGTCCGTCCGCTAGTGTGCGCGCCGGCCGACCTGACCGGGTCGCCGGCCGACGAGTGGCGGCCAGACCTGGTCCATTAGCCCCGTTCCGGCCGCCGACTGCTGACGGCGTTGGGCGCCGGTGGATGGTACGGTCCGGATTGTTCTCGGCGGCCGGCGTCGTCAGCTGCCACGCAGCGTAGCTGGCAGCGGTCTCCGGCCGGGCCGGCGGTCAGCCGGTCACACCCGCGGACCTCGCCCGGCACGGTACCGACACGAGACCGGCGGCTGGGCCGGCGGAGCCGCGGATGGTTCGGAGGGCAGCTCACCCCCGCGGCCGTCGCCCGGCGGCTGGGCCGGCAGAGCCGCGGACGGTTCGGAGGGCAGCTCACACCCGCGGCCCTCGCCCGGCGCGGTGCGGACACGGGACCGGCGGCTGGCTCGGCGGAGCCGTGGACGGTCCGGAGGGCGACTCCGGAAGGACGGCAGGTTCATGGATGACGTCACAGACGTCATTAAATCATTAAAGGCGGCGGGAATGGCTTTTTCCGGTTGTCCTCTGAGTCATCTGAATGTGCAGAAGTGACTCGTTTTAGATCATCCTGCATTAGAGCAGCGAGCTTACTTTAGATGACCCTGCATTGCAACCGCGAGTTTACTTAAGGTGATCCTGCAGTGCAACAGTGGTCATCACCGCGGGAGAATCGTCCAAAAAAGATTGTTTGGCGAGGCCACTGGAATGAAGATTTCTCAATGGGAAAGTATCAAAGTGATCGCAGCTTGACCGGACGCCGGCGTGCTCGCTGCAGCACCAGCCACAACACACGCCCCGTACATCCTGGCGAGTGACTCACAAAGCTGCTACGCTGCCCGCGATGTGTTGTAGCCTGCTGCGTGGTTGCACTCGGCGCACTGTTTCGGACGGAGTTGCGGTTTCCGCCGCACAGCTGACATGGAAGGGTGACTCACCCGGCAGGACCGCCTGGAGGAAAGATAGGGCTCCAGTGGGCTTCGCCAAATATTTAGCCGTTGTCGGATTACCGTTTGATATTGTAAGTGATAGCATGATTTTTGTCCAGTTTTGATCAGTCCGCAAAGATTTTGCGTTGTTTGACAGCATACCAGGAATTGGAAAAGCTCGCGGCTTTCCCATAATTCTGTCGTTTTCCACGCAACTTCTTAATGACACTAAAGCGCAGTACGTGGTGATATTTCTTACTTGGAGCTTCTGTTCTTATATATAAGCTGGTCACGCAGCGTCCGTGAAAGCGTAGGGCACATGGATACATCGTTGGGCCGAATGTCAAAGTTTGTATATCCGAACGAGGATCTTACTTGGCGTTCGAAACACGAAGGACTAAACACAGATAATATGCGCTCATCGGCTACAAAACCCATTTCCGGTTGTACGTTCGGAACATCCCCCTTTTGGGAAAACTGCCGCACCGAGCCGTGAGCACAGCGACCGTGCTACAGCGCCGGGTGTGTGACGACCACCTATCTGTGCGATTAGGGTCATGTCCATCGCAGCCGTATATAAATGCGCGAAGTAAAACGACGAAGACATTGCGTGGCGTTTAATCTCATGTGAAGTAGAACGCATGATGCAAGCGTTCTACTTCCAAAGCCTGCCCGTCCGGGAGGTCAGGTCGGACTTCTCGTCACGAAACGGACGTGACTGAACGCCGTTCCGAGCCCACACACTGTCTACCAGATCCGGGACGTGTCGGGTCTGGTGGACGAGAAGTGACCTCTCTGGTGGCCACTTGTGGTCACAAAGGTGACCTTTCTCACGCCGCAGGACCCCTCTCCACCGAGCATTGGTGCGATCAGGGTTCTAGGGCACTTCAGCCAGCGGAGTTACACTGCGTCTCGATGATTGCACTGCGGCCGCGGCCACCCTGAGTGCCTCACCACCCCGTGCTATCCCTGCTCGGGACAGCCAGCCGCATCACTGAACGCTGCCACCCTGGGCGCCACACTGCCCTGTGCCATCCCTGCACGGGACAGCCAGCCGCATCACCGACCGCTGCCACCCTGAGCGCCGCACCAACCCGTGGCATCCCCGCACGGGACAGCCAGCCGCATCACTGACCGCTGCCGCCCTGAGCGCCACACCAACCCGTGCCATCCCTGCACGCGACAGCCAGCCGCATCACTGACCTCGCTCGTCTCTCCGCAGGCAGAGGAGCTGAACACGATCGTGGGCAACGCGTTCCGAATGGCGTATGCGGCGCGCCTGCAGCGATCCTGCCTGGCAGGGCCGGGCAGCGCCGGCGACGACTCCGCCTGGGAGATGGAGAGCCGCAACAACCACGACAAGACCAACAACCGCACCTGGGTGAGTGCCTACCGGCGGTGGGGCGGGCAGAAGAGGGGCACCTGGCGCGGAGTCGTAGTACCCGTAGAGGACTTGGCCACCGCGACTCGTCGTGGACATGTAGAGGAGTCGAGGGTTCGTGGAATGATGAAGATGGAATGCTGAAGCTTTGTGTGCGCTACGAGCCATTCTACACGACCTTGCCCGGATGTTAAGACGAGCCGTTAAGACGAGCCGTTTTTGGAAAACGGCCAACCAGTAAGAACCAATCGGATCCAGGCAAATGCCTCGGGACTCTTCTTCATCTTCTTAGCCACAAGATGTTGCAGTGCGAAATCGGACAGCGAAACAACTATGTGTGCAAGCATGCATCCCAGTTTTGTCTAGCCTGCAAGGAATGCAGACGGTCTTCTGCAGCACTGCGTGCATGCAACTGAACATGCCAAGCCGTGCAGGTGGCGGGGGCCTTCAGAGTGGATCTCGTAGGGCTTCATGCGGCGTCTGGAAACCGAGATGTGCAAGGATCTCGAACAAGGCCGAGACAAAACCGCAGGGCTTAAGCCCCGCCGAGGGCTCCTTCGCCGGTTCAAAGAAACGTGTTGGTGCAGCGCGTGATTCGCGCGCCGTCGCTACTACAGAACGGGCTGGCAGCGACTCGTATTCCAAGGCTGGCCCGCTCTAAAGCACTCGTCAGACATGTCCGGGCCCATCATCGCAGCATGGCATGCCTCGACTAATATGTGCGCCATGTCTCCGCCGAAAACGACAGGAGCCACTACACCACCAAATGCGCAGCGCCGGCGCTTTCACACCGGCGCATCCCGCGGCACCTGCCGTCCTGTTCGCTCCAGTAGACCCGAACCGCGAGCCTCAGCACACTGGTGCATCCCGCGGTCGCAGTTCACTCCAGCCGACCCGAGCCGCGAGCCTCCAGCACACCAGTGCATTCACGGCCGCCGTTCACTCCAGCCGACCTGAGCCGCGAGCCCCCAGCTCGGCTCGAGCCTGGCTCTTCGTTCCGTGATCAGAGCTGCTGGCCAGACCACATAGGGCCCCTCAGGCGGTCTGGCTGCCGCGTTTGCGACACGGCGTTGCGACATTGGAGCCGAGCATTCCCAGACGGACGGCCGCGCGGTCGGCCCGGCCGTCGGCGCTCAGCCAGGCGGAAGATCTCGCCGGCGCCACGGACGCCAGGTGGCGGGCCGCGCGGCGCACCCGCGGACCGGCTGTCGGACGTGATATCCGCGGCTGGACAGGCGCTGCCGTCGCTGGCCCGGTCGCCCGCGGACCGAGGAGGTGACAGCAACGGGACCACGCATCTTCAACGGACAGGCTATCGCCAAGCCTCGGCGGAAGTGTACAGAATGCGTCGAGGCTGAGCTTGGGATTTTATGGTCAAGCCTGGTCATACAGCACGACAAGACTGGCATAAAAATGAGGAGCATTTTGACCGGCACGTGCCCGTTTATGGCGTGCCATCTCTCGCCCGAGGTGGAGTCAACGGTCAGTTTGTTTTAGCCGCGCCACTTGTTGGACGTGTCGGTCAGGTCAGGTGTGAGCAGGCCCACCAACCCTAACAGAGGCTGCCGCGATGAGCGAGCCGGCAGCCTCTGCTGTGTGTTAGACACCAGGCATGGCGCCGGCTGCTCAGTTCCGGCCTCCGACCACCCAGCCTCGGAAGAATGTTAAGCATTGCTAGGCCGCCCTTACCGCTGCCCGAGCCGAGCCACTCACATATCGGTGGTCATGCGTTTACCCTCACACCAGATCGTGTTTGTCTCCTTGTGCAACGGAAGCCCTGGAATTTTCCTTAAGCACAGACGGTACGCCTTTTGAAGAGCGCCTGTCAGCACTGAATGTATATCCGCGGGCCCCACAGCTTATCAGTCATGAAATAGCACCACCCAAACACAGGAAGTGTCTGAAAAGCTTCTGTCAGAAACCGCCTCTGTTCAAGTTAAGAAACACGTAATTGTTGTCGTGGAAACGGGAAAGTGAGACGGGTTGTGAAGTGAGAGCGTTTCAAAGGCTGGTTCGAGCTATGGTTTACAGCACACTATTATTTTGATGATGGCACTCCGGAACGACTGAGGAAGCCGATGTTTGGCATTACTTCTATCCGCACTATACCCATGTGGCACAAAAAGTTGGATCAGAATGGTTGGATAACACCTGGATTGGGGGAATATAACCATTTCAAGACCTGATGCTGCATGTTTGCCCACGATATTAGAGCAGCTTGACTAGACGCTCCTCCCAGAGTCGTTCATTCACTGACCTGGCCCGCCTCCTCCGCAGGGCCGGCGCTCCAAGCATCGCGAGCCTAGCCGACGCGAGCTGTCGCGGGGCAAAAACGTCAACCTGGCGAGTCCGGCGGCGGCGGCGCCGGCGGCGCCCGGCGCCCAGGAGCCGACCCGGCTGGCCGCCGAGCTACGCTGCCCCCTGCTGGCGGGCTACGTCAACGAGGCCGTGTCCACCACCGACTCGGAGTCGCGCTCGAGCGAGGGCGATGTGCGGCCGCTCTCGGCCGCCGGCCGCTCCGTGTCGGCCAGCAGCCAGAGGTGAGCGGCGCCGCGCGCCAACGGATCGCGGGCGGACCGCGTGGATGGCGCAGTGTCACCTTATCTCTTGGGTAGGCGTGCTGTTTTGCTCGCCGAGACATTTGACATTTCCAGTTTTGCGGATCATGTCGCCTTCGATGTTAAGTGAGCGATTATTGTCGTGTTATGCATGCACTTTTCAACAGGATCGCTTGCATTAGGTGCCACCAGGGCTCGAAGGTACCAGTTTTGAAGGGGCATTCTTGTGGTGTGCGGAACCGGTTTTATTGCGCCGCTTCTGTGTGGATCATCGAGTGCACGTGGTCGGTACAAGCCGCAAAGAGAAAAGCGACCGCGCCGCTCTAACCAGTCGGCCTGTCCTCAGCCTGCGAGAGGACACGAAGAGTTGCCACTGGTCGAGCGCCTCCAGCTCTGCCTCCGCGTCACATCACGCGGAGGGCACGAGCGGGGCCTCGACGCCGCTGCCGCCGCCCTACTACCAGCAGGGCCCCAGCCAGGAGCGGGTGGAGCTGCGCAGCGCCGCCTGGTTCCAGGCAGGCATACCGAGGTCAGTCGCATGCCGACGGCATACTGCGTCCGCATACCGGGCCGACATACCGGGCGCATACACCGAACGAAATACTTTTTCAATCAGGCTCGGGCATTTCTGGCGAGCTTCAGAGGAAAGGCACACAACAGGATTTCAGTTATCGGTTGTTGGGCTTCACGGCAGTGCACTGCTGGTGGACTTCGGGGTAGTGGCATTTCTGTGGCTTCGGTGACCAGGGTCCGTGTTGTACTTCAGCAAGACAGGTGTTTGGAATTTTAACGCCGCTGCAGCTCGGTGGTAGGATGCATTTGTGGCATCGTCTACACGGTAAATACAGGATCCATACTCTGCTCGGAAACGGTCCTTACTGAGTGGAGTAGCCGCCGGCTGTGGGGCGAGATTATTGCTGCTGGGCCACCCACCACGCACCTGACGACGAGTTGTCACTACTGCTCTCCCGCCACGCGCCATAAGACATGCAGGCGGAGGCGGGCAATGTGGAGCGTTTGGTGTCGGTTTGCCTGACAATCTCCTCGTTTGTCCGCAGGGAGATCGCACTCGAGGTGCTCTCCCAGGAGCCGGTGGGTGCCTTCATGGTGCGCGAGTCGACTACCAAGCACGGCTGCTACGCGCTCTCGCTGAGGGTGCCCCGCGACTTCCAGGTGTCGGGCATCGCCCACTACCTGATCCTTAAAACCGCCAAAGGATACAAGATCAAGGTACGAGCGAGCTGGTGTTGAGCTGTGCTGTGCCAGTGCCGTGCTGTGCTATGTCAGTACCGTGCTGTGCTGTGCTGTGCTTCGCTGGTCACTCGTGCGGGTACGGACATCATCAAGTTCGATCGCTATCGTATTGCAATTCGGGTTCACGTATTCCTGTCATTGATTTCGCCTGCGCAGTCCTAGGGATCATCGATATATTTCGTGCCACGGTAAGCTGTTCAAGGCGCCTACACATTCTGCAAAGCGGGGCGTCACCAGATGCGTGACTGGCCGGTGTCTAACGGCATCTGGGTTTGCAGGGCTTCATGAAGGAGTTCACCTCGCTGACGGCCCTGATTACGCACCACTCGGTGATGCCGAGCTGCTGCTGCCGTGCACGCTGTCGCTCAGCCGCTACAACCCCAACTTCGTGCGCTCCGAGTCGGCGCAGGACCTGGTCGAGCTCGACACGGACTCCGAGTACAACGGACTTAGTGAACTGTCGCGCGCCAACCGCTGACACCAGCGTGTGAGACGGCCGCGACGCGGCGCTAGTGTCGCGCCGCCGGGACGGGGCGGCGTCCCCGGAGCCGGCGGCGGCCGTCCGGACAGTGACTGACTGTGCCCCGCGCGGCGGGCGGGCCGACCGGGCTGACCTGCGGTGACCTCAGGCCACCGGGGCCGATCAGACCGGACTCGCAGCCCGCTCCTGTGATACTAACGCTAGTTGTCCGATGCCGCACGCGTGTTAGGTAATCTGAGATACGTCTATTATTTATTGGTTTGTGCGGCGGTTGTCTGCGCGGCTTCGACCTCGGCGCGGGAAACGACCGATGGAGATTGAAGAGTCATCGACCGACCCGCGCTTATGATGTGTTTGCTTGAACGTGAACTGATTGAAATAAACCACTCGTAATACAGGTTGTATGCGCAGAAGCGACAACGGGACATAGTGCACGATAAAACGTTATCCCTGAGCTAAACTGAGTGAATCGCTCAAGACACATCAATAATTCACGATTCAGTTCAAATTTAAAATATGCAATTCAATTTTTTTTCTATAATCCAAAGCTCCAAAACAATTCGAACCTTATATTTACTGCTCATATTTGTTTTGATTAAGGCACGTTGCCGACACATGATACTCATCTCCTTTTTCCTGGTTGATTTATGAGGAGCAGGCTAAACAACACTGCCTTATATATATATATATATATATATATATATATATATATATATATATATGCATATATATATATATACGCAACGTTCCCCGCAAATGCACTCAACAACTCACGTGATTCCCCCTTGTTGTTGGTGTTCGGCCAAACGGTCCCGTCAGATCCACGGCAACATGCTGTCACGGAGCTGTTGGCCGACTAGTTATCTCGAGCGGGGCTTTCAAACGCCGCCGAGGCTCGCTGGAGCGGGCACAAACCAAGCAGCTGCGGCAATGGTTCTTTACATTTAGATCCGACCCTGCCCACATGTACCCCGCTCGCAGCAACAAAACAGGGTCCTGTTCGCACCGAAATGACCGGATCTGTCGTGCTCGAAGGGGGGGGGGGGGTACCCGAGCGGTCAGCCGCTCTAGAACCAGCAGGCACCATCCATGCAGTTCCAGACCTTGCCGGTGCCACTGCTTGCAAGTGTTCCCTTCCGTCCTGTTGAACTGGAGCTCGTGATACAATTCTCGCAGCGGCTTGTCCGCCTGCCTGCGCGCCCTTTAACCCCCCGACGCTGAGCTCCGCCGCAGTGTGAGCCGTGACGTCGGCGGGGGTGGGACGCGTCAACCGTTGGAGTCGCCATGAACATGGCCCGGATAGCGCATCGGCGGGACGGGCGTGAGCAACCTCGTCGATAGTGGGTAGTGAATTGAGATTTCTTAAAATCGATCCATCTGACATAACGTCCCCTGGGATGCCTGGTATCTCGTAGCCACTGGAGACCGCAATGATCCGTAAACCACTGGAACGGTTTGCCGAGCAGATAGGCACGAAACTTTCGAAGAGCAAAAATAAACGCAAAAACCTTCTTGTCAGGTATATGTCAATTTGTCTCGCTGTCTAAAAACGTTTCAAAGCAAAACAGCAGTCGCCTCCATCAGCGTCCCGTTGCAAAAACATGCACCCAAAAACCGATGCCTGATGCGTCTGTGCTAACTTCGAAGCCCTTCTGTATGTTCGGTACAAGGTACAAAATCGTGGCCTTGCATAGAGCATGTTCAAATCCCTCGAACTCCTGGTCTCCAAGTTCGTTCCCACGAGAAACGGCCTTGTCAGAAACTGCGTGCAAGGGCGCGTTAGAAGCTTCAAGTCCGGTAGAAAATTCTCTACGAAGTCGCTGTAGTAGTTACACATGCCAGCAAGTGCAGGAAGCTGCCTCGTTGATTCCCATTCGAGGCCAGTTTCTGATTGCCTCCACCTATCAGGGTCGGGGTCCACGCCAAAGGCCGATACAATGTGTCCCCAAGAACTTCATCTGGCGATGACAGGGCCACAGCTTCGAAGCTTTTCACCGTCAATTTGCTTGCCGAGACGATGTAGGCCAGAGGGCAGTAGGGATAATGTTCTAACACAGTTTGCCCACCCGTAATCATGCAGCATTTCCGACATCAGGCCTAGAGCAAACCAAGAGCGCCCTTGGTAGAGAGCAGCATAACCAGAAATTCCCATCGTGTATCCTCCATGGTAAACGCGGTTCTCCCGGCCACTGGGAACTACGGGACTTGCCAGTATGCAAAGTTAAAGTCCGAAGTCATAAAAAATATGCTGAGCCCGCTGAACGGTCCAAACATCTTTAACCGTCAGGAGGTACGCAACTTCATCGACTGCGTTGCGATTGAGTTCTCTAAAATCTACTGCGAGGCAATACAACCCATTCGATTTTTACCCATCAAGATTGCCGGAGACCAGGGGGAGCTGGATGGCTGGATGATTCCACGAGCCTCCATCTCAGCGATCTGTCTCCTGACCTCGGGTCTCAAGTGATACAGAGTCCGTCGCGCTCGGACTGCCTCTGGAGAGCAATGTCCAGTGTTGATGTGAGCTGGGCCAGATGCGTACATTCCAGCTTATCGTCGCTGTTTGCGAAAACGTCCCGATATCTGTCGAACAGTCTCCTAAGAACTAATCGATCCAGTTCAACTGCTTCGGTGCGCGCCGGGCCACCCGAACCGGGCTTTCCGTTGTGGGCGCTTCCCGCCAGCCGCTGCTGCCACCCGGCCGCCATACACTTCCCCCAGAACCGAGTGGCATAAAGCTTCACCGGCTTCAAGCCAGCATTCTTCACTTGGATCAGTATCCTGTTGCCGACGGCGGAACGTGCAAAACAAGGAAAGGAGAGAAAGCGACCTCATACCGCTCCGCTTGGAAATCTCAGGGCAGATGCCACGTCACGTGCATTCTCATCGAAATCTACTTCTTTGACATCTACCACCCGTTCCGAGTAAGGAATCCAAAATGTAGTCAGATGCCAGTCGCACGGCTATCGGCTGTGCTGGCGTCCCACCCCGCCTGGCCTCCAACTGGACACAACAGCCACCAATATCCAATATCCAATATCCAACAGACACCAAACAGCCCACCTTGCGAAATCGATGCTGAAAGAGTCTTAAATTTTCCCAGCATATCGGTGCCAAGTATCGCTGGAGCGGGCATTTTTTTCTATCACTAGTGTACGAACGTGACTGAGCGATGCTGGCCAATAAGAATGCCCGCCCCAAAATCTGGCGCACAAATCGCAGTTTTATGCCGTTCGCTCCGATGGGATGCTGTCCTGAGGGCGCCCCGTGGCAGAGTGGGTATCCCGGGCAAAGCTACTGAAACACGGGTCACCACAGCACCGGTGTGCACTAACCACGTGCAGTCTGGCTTATCAATGCGACCCCTCTCTCGCAGCGAGCGAACTGCCGGCTGGTCAACTGACTGAATGGCCGAGCTGGGCCTTTGGGGCGTGCCGATTCAGCCTCGGTTACCACCCGTCCCTCGCCAGTAACCCGTTTAGTTTAAACCCATCGGGCAGCCATACTGGGTACGGCCAAATTCGTGGCACCTCCAGCAGACTTCGGCATCGGCCGGCCTCGGCCTCGCCCTAATGGAGCACCAATACAGTCCTGCTGCATATGGCCCGGTGAGCTACAGGTCCAGCACGCTAGCTCCCTCCTTTCCTGGGCCCGGCCCGTGCCGGCCGACCGGTCCACGTGGCACCCGGCTGCACCCCCAGGCCCTTGCGCACCGCGGGCCCAACAGCGGGCCCGTGCTGCCCCACGCTGTGACGTCACAGCACCCCGGCGGGTCCAACCGCCACTCCTTGTGAGGGACCGCCGCCCTTCTCTCTCTCATTTTTGGCGCGCGTTAACCACGCGCGCCAATCAGAAACCTCCCCCCGCAGCTGAGCGAGTTCACAGTCTTCATCTGCGATATGTTCTCTCACGTGTTGAAACGGTGACGGATCGCAATGCCGACGATAAAATGGCTTCCACGCATTTAGCATAGTCCGGCAGTTTGTCGACGGCCATGTCCGGAACAGAAGACGGATCTGAGATACTACCGCGGGGCTGATGCCGTCCTAAGAAACAGCTTCCGGGCAAGGCATATGCCACCGTTACGCATGGAACTGACGAGTAGGTTTAACACAACGCTTAACGCTAAACACAACGTAACCAAGGGGAGAAGAGCGTTCACCCAGCGAAACCAGTGCGTGACCAGGTGAAGGGGTATTGAAATTGGTCAGAAGTGAAACAGCTCCGACGTCATCATCCCTGCGATGAAATCGTCGTTGGCTTAAAATGTGCTGCTGTTCGTGGGTCAGAGCGGGAAGCTCCACTCCGCGTGCCGCGCGTCAGTCGAAATCGATTCCGCGGGAACAGAAGCAATAAGTTTCCGCATGATCGAAGAACCCTATGCACGGCTGGAAAAGCCACCTGCCAACGCCAATAATACGTTGGTCGGGCCCTGGGGCGCTCAGTAACAGAACTTCCGAGGCGCTGGGGCGAGTCGCTTACGTCTGTGCGTGATCCGGCGGCCACGAGGCTGGCGATGCCCTGGTTGATCACGGATAGCGCAAGAGTGGAATCCTGATGCTAGCATACAACTAAGCGGGTGCGAAGCCTTTCAGGTCAAATTTCAACGTGCTGCTCTCATTGCCAGCAAAACTGACGCATCATTCCTTGTCACCAAAACGTCGCTACTGGTGCCACGATCACACCAAACACCGCTCGCTCATTCGCTTCCGCACTTTCCGTCCAAAGGCAGTGACAAAATACCGAGCTTTGTATTACCACCATATAGCATCAATATACATCCATTTACAGTAGCAATAATACAGACTGCTAACAAATGTAGACAATGGAATCTCCAGTATCACTGGGGGCGCTGCGGCAGGCATACGAGCCGCCCCACAAATCGGAAGACGAGGGAAGAGGAAGGCATCCGTTGGCGTGGCGTCCGACAGGCGGGCGGCCATTTTGACACAAGTTCCCAGGCCCAGCAGACGGCCCGGTCTCATCGGCTGCAGCAGCGCCGAGGCACGTGGTAACCAAGAAGAAGCATAACAATGTACTATCTTAAATAGCTAGACAAGATTCTGTGCGGGTTTCCGCATGGAAACACTCGCGATTCGGTACGCCGGTGTGCGCCGGACGCGCCACCCGCGACTGGGACGGTCGTCCCACCTCAAAACATACTTCTCGCGCAGATCATTCCGCCAGAACCACCCGGCATCACAGACACCCACTTGATCACTGAGGGCAAACCTCGACACGGACGACCAGGGGTCTTATGCGTGGTCCCCGGGCCACCCGCCACACCAGTCTGCGGCGGGTGACGCCATTCGGGCGTCCGTCGCGGGACAGCCTCGCCCCAGCCGACGCCTCCCCTCTTCTCTTCCGCAGCCTCACTGCTGCGGTACGGACGCGTCCAGAGCAGCACGCCGCCGCCGGTGCTCCAGCCGCATCGCTTGTCACCAGCTCCCATGACGTCAGCGCCGGCTGAGCGGAGCCGAGCGCAGCGGTCCCGTTCCACCGGGCCCGGTCAGCGGCGGCGGCGGCGCCGGCGGATCACGGGGCCCCAAACACGGCCGACATGTTCTCCAGCAGCGCCTCGACCACGCGGTTCTGCTTCATCAGATCAAGCGCCAGGTCTGGCGAGTCTTGCTCGGGCCACATCAGCGTCGGCCCGAACACGATCGCCAGGTTGTGCGCGTGCATGCGGTTAAAGTCCTGCAGCTCAGTCACCCTGCGGAGAAAGACGCGCCACGTCTACACGCCCACCAACACATCCGTCGAGCCGAAGCTCCGGCTGGCGGCGCCGGGGCACCAGGCAACGCCGGCTGACTCAGCATGCCGGCGTCGCCGCGCGCTGTCCCGGCACACTGCCGTCCCGCCCCCTTCCTCTCCCCCCCCCCCCCCAATCCGTGCAGACCCCACGGGCCGGACGCATCGAAGATACACATTACCGGGCCTCCCAAATCGCTGCCTGCCCACTCAAGTTGGGAACCTCTAACCGTTTGCTGACCTCACGCACCCTGACTAGTACTTAGGGGGGGGGGGGGCATAGCCAC